TTACAACGTATTATTCATGTTTGATTTTCTTCTCAGCTGCTATTGCATATATCAGGCTGAAAAAAATTGCAGAGGTGGGGGAAAATATTCAAATTTGAAGTTATATTTGTTCACCAATTTTGACGCCACATTCAAATAGAAAAAATGAAGTTTTGAAATTGAATTTCGACGTGAAAACTGTTTCAGTCCCCTCCCCGTACAATGCGTCCTTTAACATTCTATAACACATGTTTTTAAAATTTTTAAGCAGATGCAATTACAACACATGAACTCGAAATCTTATAGGTGTTATGTGGATGCTACATCCATTGTGTGACAAAATCGATGTGAATACCCATGGTGGAAAGAGATGGGTGGGCTCTTGCGCATTCGACTTCGTTCAATGAGCTTCAGGCACCAGTTTGCATCATAATATTAGCGGGAATTTTAAATGCCAAAATTGTCACAGTTACAAGTCATTGAAACAGATAAATACTTTTTTACATCATTTATTTCAATTTCATCTTCATTGTGTTATTTTAAGTTGGACACTGTTACAAAATTGTCACTTAACGCTACTTTCAAAATGTTTCTCAACACTTCTTTCTCTCCACGGAACAAAGCAGCCAAAGGCTGGCCTAGCCCTCAAACGAAGAGCCCGTGTTGTGGTCAGTTAGTTCGTGACGCAAACCGTTTGTAGAAAGAGCAGAATCCAATGCACCGGAGGGACCCTCTCGTCTCTGTCCACAATAGGAATATCGGGAGTGAAACGATATTATTGTGAACGCGCGAACGGAAGTTACACCCTGAGATCATTTATTATTTGTCACATGCTCGTTATTTGGCGAAAATTGTTAAATCGTCAGTTTTGAGTAGAAAGTTTATAACTATTTCGAGTAGAATGTTTATAAACGAACGCGTAATCCTACTTATTGAAGAAGACAGTGATTAATTGTCTATGATTGTCTAATTGTCAATGATTAATAAATCTACAACTGAGTTATTTAATGTATATTACAAACTGCGTAATTGTTTTTTTTCTATTTGAATTTGGAGTCAAATTTGGTTGACAAAAATACCTTCAAATTCAACTATTTCCTCCCCGTCTCTGCCTAATATATGCAATAGAAACTGAGAAAAAAATAAAACATGAACGACACGTTCGTCTTATCTCTGCAACAGATTGCCTTAGAAGTCTGATTTTTCTGAGAATTTACCGCATTTTGTATTTTTTCATATGAGTATCAAGATGATCGATTTGGTTTGGGGGCACTTTTCACCCACTTATTCGGCTATACCCTTTATAAATGATAATATTACAACAATTGCATATCCATCTTCCATACGAAGAACTTGAATCGCGTCTTCTTTCAGAGCTCCACACACACGAGGCGCACCACCTTCCCCCCTCCCCGGGGGACCATAAAATTATGTATTGTGTATCGCGATTCTTTTGTATGTTATCAAATTCCATACCGAGATCTATCAAATTCGATAACCGAAAAGCTTTGAGTCGAACAAATCAATTGATGTCTTGTCAATAATTTTGATAATGTTCTCGAAAGAATTCGTCTGACATGCAAACTAATGCTTGTAACCCATGTTTTACTGGCTATTGTTTGCAACTCTCGTAGATTTTATTTCAACGTTTAATTATGTAATTGTCTCGTGTGTTCATAGCATCGTATACATGTAAGTAATCGTAAAACGAGTCTTTTCCTGTAATTATCAACGTACTTTTAATATGATCAATAAGCGAATTAATGAATATAATAATAAAACCTAAGAATCCGTGGGTGGAATCAGACTCTCCTTATGGAGAATTGTTCTTAGAAATTTTCTCACAACTGAGCAATGATTGTGGATTTTACAATTATTTTCCTTCAATTATTTACACTAGGCAACGTTCTCAATGTTACACTTCTGTCTCTACTGCACACTCTTGCCCAACTGTAGTACTGATAATAGAAACCTATGCATTCAACTGATAACTATGTGCTACTTGATCTTTGTCTTTATTTTTTCCGCCTAACACTTTCCGCGAATTAACGAATATACAATGCAGAAATACTTCCACGTAGGAATCTAAACATATCTTGTTTAGCAAAATTCTTCCATTAATACGGAATATTTTTAATGTATTGATTGTTAATGATTGCCGCTTTTCTGTTCAGTTTCATTGTATTTCAACGGACTTTCTCATTCCACGTCCATTGATTACATGGATGAAAAACAGAACGGTATAAGTGACATTTTATAAATTCCGAGAAAATTGTTTATTTAATTAAATATACTGTGAAGTCGTGTTGCTTCGTTTTATCCTTAAAACCACGGCATTTCTATTGTTCATTAAAACCACGACATTACGTTTCAACTGAAATATAACCTAAAATAAACATGTTTTTTCTCATAATTTATAAAATGTCACCTATACCGTGCTGGATTTTACCCATTCAGTTAGTGCTAATTTTGTGTCACGGAAGAGAAATCATCTGCTCTTGGAATATTTTTGCTTGTGTTAGACACACTGCCTGACAAAAAAAGTGATGCACCCAGGAGTGGTCCAATTTCGGTATACAATCATACCCTTGATGTGTGAGTAAATGATTAGATTCACACGCATCTATAATGAGTAGAACTCCCACCAGAGTCCATTCGTGATGTCACCACACAGTTATTGCGCCCTCAGTTAACTGATTTGAGTCAGACAGTGAAGAATAGCGATTTCGTACAGTATGAAGCACCTGCAATGTCACGCGGACGCGCTCGATAGCATATCCACCAATTGACTGCATTTGTCTGATGTCGCATTGTAGGACTTCGCGAGGCTGGTTGGTGGTGTGCAATTGCCAAGCCTGTGGGCCATTCAGATGTCTCAGTGGCCCGATATGGGAATCACTGGGTACCTGCACGTCGTGCAGGCTCGGGTCGACCAAGAATCACCAACCCGAGGAAGGACCGTCGTAAGCTGCGCCAGACTGGGCTGAATATCATGACGTCAGCACCCGCCATTCGCGAACATTCTCTGGAGTCTCTACAACATCCTGTGAGTTCCCACATATTGAATCGACGACTCTCATCTGCCATATTGGGTTCCCACCACCCCTTCTGTTTGTTGCCATTGACACCAGGATCCCAACGTTGAGGTCCTCCCGTGTCGTAGAACATGTTGAGGTCCTCCCGTGTCGAACAAGACCCCGGACCTCTTTCTCATTGAACGGGATGACATTGGTAGGGGGACTCCATCGCAGTACTAACCAGCAGGATCTCTAGGAACAGCCGCGGCAACTGACGAACTTGCCTTAAGAGAGGATCCACAGGCTGTTTGACACCGTTCCGAAATGCATAAGGGCATGCATTGCATCTAGAGGGGGTGCGACCGGGCGCCATCTTTTCATCTGTAACTTCCAGCGCTCATGTCACTTCCATTCCATATTGTAATATTTTCAATTTAATCACGTGTTCTTTTAGCTTAAATAGTTTCATTCATTTCCCCACCACTCCTTCTGGATGCATCACATTTTTTTCTTAAGCAGTATACTTCATTATTAAGATATTGGAGTTCCACAGCATTACATGGAACTATTGTCCACTACTTGTAATAAATTGAAATAATGTTTGGGAAAAAGGCAAGTAGATATGTAACGTATTGCACTAAAGTAGGAAGTCGGGCTTCACGAGGGCGCCGGGCAGTGGATAGGGCTTAGGCAGACGCCGTTAGGGCGTAGCAAGCAGGCAGGGGCTGGAAAAGCGCAAGCGCAAAGGTATTTTGAGAGCTTCCAGGAATTCGAGAAAAAAAGCTAGAACTGCGTGGTGGCGCTGAGACCACATGATGTTGGTCGCCGCGCGAACGCGAGGTAACGTCGCGTGCCACGTGATCTGAGTGTATTTAAGCGAGAGCGCAAGGCGTGGAGGTGGGTTTTGAGCAGTGTGGGAACCTCGTGCGAACGCACAAAACTTGCGCTAAGGGCGGTGCGTCGCCAAGCGCCAAGCGACCTATGAGTTGGGAGCCGCGGTTGAGCATCACTTCCACAGTGGTCACAGGGAATTACGCTGTGTGTATAGGCATCTGAGGAGTGGTGAGGGCCACGAGTATAAAGTTGTAAATAAACGTGTACATAGTTGGGATTGTGTCTGTAATTGTAGTAGATTCCTACAATTTACTACAATTGTAGTAGATTCCTACGTCTCACTATGCATGTCCGCCTTGCTGAGATCATTGAATTTTACTCAGCATGTTTTGTACAGATTTTTTTCAGTAACTTCGGTGTTTGAAGTAGTCACAGCGACAAAGTGCTAAGGATCACTTCAACATTTAGATAGGTCTGACGCACCCACGACATTTGTAAGAAATATACGAAGGACATTGAGGTTTGCGTCTGAACAATTTAAGAGCCAAATTACATGCTTCCTTTCGACGAACAATTTCAGGAATTTTAGCAAATTCGTGGCTTTTGAGGGAGGTTGAGCCGATGTGCGCATGTTTGATAAAGTTCCGGAAATTGTTCATCAAAAGCAAGCGTGGAAATCAGATAAAAAAGCTATATTTTAGTTTGTAAAGAGACATATGGTAAGTGATAAAAAATATTACGTTTGAGCAGGGAAAATTTAGATCCATGATTTTGAAGAGGAAACGTTATTAAAGAGCTGCCTCAAAATGTGCATCATAAAAGAAGTAGTACTGCAATTAGATAAATGTGATTAAGTGAGATCAATGAATGAGAGGAAGATAATATTATGATATTAGTGGTAAAGGGACCTTTTATTTTGGGAGAAGGAAAGGTTACGAGTCGGTTGAGTAGCGCAGTTCTACGAGCAAAATAAAATTACTTTTCTTTCTTTTGTACTTTCTGTCATTTTGAACTTTTTGTCCATTTTTCCTTTCTGTCGTTTTTGGAGTTATTTCTGCTGTCGCTTTTGTCCTTTCGGCCAGTTCTCCATTTCATTCACAGATTTATCAGAACACTTGAGTATCGTCTCACGTTAAGCACGCTAGGCATTCCGTAAAAGAGGCGACTCACCTTGTCCAAATTGAGGGCGGACTGCGCTGGCACGCCGTGGCAGTCGCTCACCTCCGTCATGGTGGGCGAGGAGGCGTGACCTCCCACGGGCAGCAGCGCCGCCGCCGCCAGCGCCGCCAGCAGCAGCAGGGCGCGCGCCGAGTGCGTGCGCGCGGGGGGCGGGGGCGAGCGCGAGTGCGCCGCACGAGGCATGTCGCTCTCAGGGGGTGGGGCGCGCCATGGGGCGAGGACGAGGACGGGGGCGGCGAAGGCGGGGACGCTGCCCCGCACTACGCTGCCATCACCCGGCAGCAGCTCGGCCGTCGCGGTCGGACGGGGTGGGTTCGCTCTGCGGGCAATACACAGACATCGTTCATCGAGAACTTGCCAGTTGAACATAAGAGGATTTAATAAATTTGCCGTCACCCTCGCACGAATCTTTATGGGATCTTTTTGGAAAAGGAAAACAGAAATAACTTTATCAGAACCCATTATTGAATATTTACAAATTCATATTAGAATGTTAAAATTATTTGGCAGTTGTTTAATGTTCAACTAACATATCCTCAAAAATTGATTCGTGTTAAACATATATTAGTTTAACGTCTCTGGAAACTTTAGGTATATTAGCTATCTTATTTCACATTTTCTTAAGAGACATTTTTAAATAATAATGTTTACATTGGAAAAATAATTTTCATTGTTTTATTCGAGTTTAAGTATTTCAAATAGATTTTTTAGATTAATTTTCTTCCTAATCGTGCGTATCTCTCTTATATCATTGCAATGTGGCACGAAGGTGATTGAAAATAATATA